TTTATTCTGTATCGTATGAAAAAGCAACGCAATTTTGAGAATGCGGAAATGGTGTCTCATAGAACCGAAAATGATTTAAATGCAACATTTCTGATCAAAATCACATAGGGATCCCCCCCCCCCCAGCATCACAGAGAGGAACTATAAGGTGACACTTATTTAATTCCGGGTAGAAATGTCTGGAAAATTCATGTCTTCGATGTACTTTACAATCTTCGGAACTCTTCGAAATTTCACTCCCAAAATGCTTGAAATCGCTTGCAATTCAAGGACCCTAGATTTGAAAATTTCCCCGGGGGTGCATGCCCCCGGACCCTCCTAGACTGTTCGACCCTCCCCCCCCCAAAAAAAAATAAAAAAATTAAGGTCTGGCTACAACACTGGTTATAGCTGTACGATTATAGCTACAAAGGGTTGAAATTATTGTCTATATAGGAGAAGTTAATAAATTCAAGTTTTACAAAATCTCTCTTCAGACTCGCGTGTTCGCCAAACTTCGATGGGTCATATTTTTCGTTCTGCCTTTTTTCCTGTTTTGCTCCCCCCCCCCTGGTAAAAATTTCTTAAAAAAGGCACTGTGCTATTTATTAGCTATTTTAACAATAGCTCTAAAAATAAAAGTAAACATAGTGTAAAAATAGCTATTTAATAGCCATTTTGACCAAAATTCGCTACAACTTTCTATGAATAGGAATTAAATAGCTATTTAAGATCTACTTATTTTGCTATTTAATAACTATTCTAGGAATGGCTCTAAAAATTAAAAAATAAAAGAAAACATAGTTTAAAAATAGCTATTTAATAACTATTTGGAACAAAGTTCGCTACAACTTTCTATGAATAGGAATTAAATAGCTATTTAAGATCTATTTATTTTCCTATTTAATAACTATTTTAACAATACACAATAATATCTCCAAAAATAAAAGCAAACATAGTTTAAAAATAGCTATTTTATAGCTATTTTGAACAAAGTTCGCCACAATTTTCTATGAATAGGAATCAAATAGCTATTTAAGACCTATTTATTTTGCTATTTAATAACTATGTTAAGAATGGCTCCAAAGAAGATATGCAAAAATAGTTTAAAAATAGCTATTTAAACTATTCTAACTGACTCGTTTGTCATCAATAGGAATTAAATAGCTATTTAAAAGCTATTTTATAGTGAGATTCCGTCAATTACTCTTTCAAATAGGATTTGAATATCTATTTCAAAGCTATTTTTTTGAAAAATATCTATAACCTATATTAAATAGGGAGTAAATAGTCATATACTATTTTATGAAATTTGATAAATAGTAATAAAATAGACATATTTTTGAAAAAATACGGAAAAAATAGGGCTAAATAGAGAAAAAATAGGTATAAAATAGGTTATAAATATGTCGGATTCTACAAGGGCACTACCAATACGGAAATATCAAGAATAGTTCCACAACTCATGCCCTAATTCACTTTATCTATCATTGGTTAGTTGCACTCGAAACACCTGATAACTCCATAAGATCTGCATGATTGATTTTTCTACAGCTTTCGATCGCGTTGACCATAATATCCTCCTGGGAAAACTATCAAATTTCAATGTTCCCCCTATACTATTGAACTGGTATGCAAATTTCCTAGAACACCGTTATTTCCGAGGAAAAATGGGTAAAATAAAATCTGATTGGAAGGAAATTAATGCTGGTGTCCCACAAGGAACTATACTTGCCCCCTTGTTCTTCTTTATAATGATAAACGATCTCACAACAACCTACCCTTATATAAGTATGTAGACGATTGCAATGCATATAAAGTCGTTTCCAGGCCAACCAATTATACTATGCTCCAAACGGATCTCAACATCGTCAATACCTGGACAGAAATTAATAAGATGCGCCTTAACATAAAAAAACCCCGAAAGAATTCCGGATATCTTTCCTAAAGACGCCGTTAGAAATCGATCAGCTCACCATTAATAACATCTCACTTGATATATTGCAAAATATCAAGCTCCTGGGAATAACAATCTCAAGCGACCTTACATGGAATATTCATTTTGATAACATATGCGCTAAAGCTAGTAAAAGGTTATATGCCCTTCGAATTTTGAAACGAAATGGTGTCCCGGCTGCAGACGTATTAACTATCCACTGCACTTTTATCAGTATTGGAATATGCATGCCAGATTTGGCATACTTCACTCTACTCAACTTTATCTGATCAAATCGAACATGTCTAAAAAAGAACGATAAAGATTATATTCCATCATCTCTCATATACTGCTTCTCTTGAACAATCGCGAGTATCTACACTCCACGAAAGCAGAGAAAATCAATGCTTGTCTTTGTATAAATCTGTTTTAAACCATGATAATAAACTACACGAACTTCTTCCTGATCCTGTTTATCATAAAAATCATCTTAGGAACCCTCGAAAGTATCCACTTTTTAAATGTAGAACAAAACGTTTCAAAAACATATATTGTGTTAAAAAATGGGATTCAATTGAGTTGACCCACTCAAACTAATGTTAATCTAATCAAGTCATGCAGTACATTTATATATACAAATCGTTAACTTTTATAATCTTTTAACTTTTAAATAGTAGCCATACTTTTATCAATTTGTAATTTCAAGTTTTTCAGGTCGCTGGCCACGCCATGTAACTGCCATAAATCATTCATCATTCATTTACTTAATTCAGTAGAGTTGCGCTTCTCATAGTTATTAAACGAAGCTTTGTGATTGGTGTATCGGGTTTTGCACTTTTTGTCGGGGGAGTTATTAAATGAAGCTTTGTGATTGGTGTATCGGGTTTTGAATTCATTTTCTGTTAGTCCAATATATGTTTCAGTGGGCTGCTTGTCAGATGTTTTAACTGTGGCTTGGTAGATAGGCTAAGAGATTTTGCTAGGCAATTTTTTGACATAGGGCATTCATTTGGTGTTTGGCAATTGCACTTTTTGTCGGGGAGTTATTAAATAAAGCTTTGTGATTGGTGTATCGGGTTTTGAATTCATTTTCTGTTAGTCCAACATATGTTTGAGTGGGCTGCTTGTCAGATGTTTTAACTGTGGCTTGGTAGATAGGCTGACAGATTTTGCTAGGCAATTTTTTGACATAGGGCATTCACTTGGTTTTTGGCAATTGCACTTTTTTGTCGGGGGTTTTAGCTCGGTGGGATAGCTTGGATTTGTTATAAGAAAAGTAACAAGTGAATGCCCTATGTCAAAAATTTGCCTAGCAAAATCTGTTATCTACTATCGATACATGCTAAGAATGAGTTTCACCATATTTGAATTTTAAAACAATCAATGTACATCTATATAGGTGGCTCATGCACTACATAACCTAGTAAAACTCCCTACAGTTTTAACGTTATAGCACACAACTGTAACTGTGCTTTAAGGTCCATTATTTCTTCAGTTTGCAAAATAAGATCACAAAACTCACACAACATTGCCTCAATACTAAGGATTACGAAAAACGGGGGGGGGGGAGGCTGACGTTAAATATTTTCCTTGCCATGGTAACAAGGTAGTTTCAAAAAGTCAAAATTTAATTGTCGTATTTTTGCATTCTTTCGTAGGTTTTTTAGATTTCCTTCGGTGAAACTTTTTTATTTTCTGCACACATGAATCTAATGCATACAAAAATTTTCGTTTGGCTCGTGAACGACACAAAATCGTTTGATTTTGGTCATATACAACAGTGCCCCTTTTGTCCAATGCCCAATCCAAAATGCTTCCGGGGCCTCTGCGCTATAGTATAGTATGAATAATTTACCACCTGCGATGTCAATACCATGCAACCAATGATATTTATCTGCACTTTATATTTGCATTTGCATAAAAATAACACAAAATTTTACAGAAAGAAAAAAGTATAGTCATGGGTAGTCGAGTCGGATGAAACAATTAACTGAGACGTTAAGATAGCATATGGTAATATATAAACTGTCATAAAAATTATAAAGTATAATTAAGCCTATAATGTAATGAAATTATATAGTATACGCTAATAAGAACATGCTTAAGTTTTCGTTTAAAAGGAAAACAAAATAACGCAAAAAGTAAAATGTTTAAGAAAATGAAGCACTATAAGCGAGTTAATATCTACGTTCACCATAGATATGGTCACCAAATATTCGAGTATCATTACTACCCAACTTATTTCAAACTTTTCGCTTTATTTTGGAAATGATCCGTACACTTTGCGGGCCAAACAGCTAATGAACATATGTTGCGCGAGCAGCGCATGCAACACCAGGCAGTGAGGCACACCTCAACAGTGACACCCAATTTCCGGATCACGCGTAGTTCAGTGTAGCTATTAACTTTGGTTAATTTATAACCTCATTAAAAAAGTTAAATCGGTGCTTCCACTTCGATAGACAATGACAAACAAAATAATACCGGAGAGCCCTGCCTCGTACCCAGGCGTCTCTTTGTAAAAAAACAGTTATGCGCATATGACGAGTTTACATGAAGTATTGTAGTGGGGAGAGATGGCGAAGGGGCTGATAGGAAGAGTGCACTTGAACTGCGAGACGCCTGGCAGTTCTTGGTCGATTTCTTGCAAGAAAGTCGATTTCTTGCAAGTTGTGCTATTTCTTTGTCGTTTACAAATTTTTGCTACTTGTTTTTGTTGAATTGACTAATGTTAATATTCTTCTGTCATCCGGGCGTGAATTCATGCTGTTATTCTTGGTATATATGACATATGCCTTATTTAAAGTCCATGGAAATTCCAATATTAACATGTCAACAAACGAAGCGTTGAAGTACTAGACTTGCAGGAAGTAGATTTGTAAGCTATAACTATATAAAGGTACAGACTATAAAATTGCACTGTTGTAATAAATATTTCAAACTTCACGGCTGTGAACTTTTATTTACTTCGGCTTTTGTTTACAGTATACATTTAATAGAAATTGCCATTGGCATTGTGATCGACTGATTGAGTTTTCAGCTAAAGAAGTTATTAATACAAAAGCAATTATATGACTTTCTAATCATTTCTCTGTTACTGTTTTATGCTAAGCAACTGATAGCATTCTATTATTCTCCATGTAATACCGAATGACATATTCGAAATGTTGTTAAGATAACTGTATTTTGTAGTTAATTCGTAGTTGACATTTTATGGTTGACATTTCGAAACAGTAAACTTGGGCAACTATGTCCAATGAGGGGTTGCTAGGAAACGGGTTTTAAGGACGTTCGAAAAACGTTGTTCGTGAGATTTTATGAGGGAAATATTACTTTTATTATTGTTCTTTTCGTTTATTTTTGTTAAATTAAAGTTTATAAAAAGAGTTTCGAGTCTTGAGAACATATTTTTGGCGATCCTGCCAGGACATTGGAGTTTTATAAT